TTTGTTCACTAAATTAGTTATTTAGTGTTTTTTAATTGTGCAGTTTTCTAAATTTTGTAATGAAATATTATTATTTTGTGCTTATTTTTTTCCTTTTTTAACTATTTATTATGAATCAGATTTTATTAAAATAAGCAATTTTCCAAATATTTGAGACATTAAATATCCGGAAGGTTGTGGATCAAAATGAACCAAAAATTTATTATGAGTTTGGAGTGAATCACATATATCTTAAAAATCTAGACATATACTTGTTTTCACCATAAACGCTTTTCTTTTATTTTACGATCACCACTTATCTTCTCTACTTCATGACCTTCGGTTCGTCCCCACTCCTCAATCAAAGAAAAGAATATCAAATATTTAAACAATAACATACTTATCTACTTATGAATTGGTAACAAACTTTAGTCACCTTGCATTGTTGCATATAACACTGTTGGACATACAAAGTTAGTGAGCAACATGGTCAGTTTTTCGAACTCACCATCAGAAACATTCTATTCTGTTGGCACATGAACCAACATAACCTCCATATATACCTTAAAATACCCTTCATAACTCTCCTAATCACCGTGGTTCAATCTACACTCCACATTTTTTCTCCATTTTTTTCAGTCACAGCCACTACTGAAACTCCATGCACTGCTTTATAATAAAAGTTAGTTTTCATGCCAGTGTGCATATGATGTTTTTTCTTAACAACTTTGATTTCAAACTTGAGATGGTTGACATGATGAGTGAGAGTTACTCCATTTGAATAATCGACAGAATGGGAGCTAGCTTTTGAATAGTTTCTTGACTTATTTGCAGAAGTTCCTACAAGAGTACAATCAAAATGTGAGCTAGCTTTTTGGATAGTTTCTTGATAGTTTATTACTTTTTTGTGGTAGAGATTACCCATTAGTTATTGAAAAGTTGCACAAACACTGAACCATAGATCAACACTTTGAAAATCACATGCAAACATATTATATTCACAAAAGAACATAACAAATTAAGATCATTCAGTCTTATTTTGATTTATTTCCTTCATTTAAGGAAAAAATAAACATTGCCGACATCTGGTTATCTACAATACATTCAATCTCTCTAAAAAAGGGTATTGTGTTAATCACACTAGAATATTAAAACATTCATTAGTTCACTTTTTTCACAAAAAGTATTTTTCTTTTATATCATAATTTTGCTTCATTTCCCAAAAATTAATTATTTTAAAAACAAAAACAGTTTTTTTCTTTTACTTATGAATCAGTAAAACTAAATTAAAAAATGGATTGTCTAACACTGTAAACAAAATCCACTAATATGTATTGTTTGTCTGCTCTCTCTCTCTAGACATCTGAACCAACTTGACTTATATAGATATTCTAAAGTATTTGTGATGATGCACTTAACCACGAGTTAGTGATCTGGTGGCAAGCGAACATACCACACTTTAGAGTTTTACCTGACATGTGGATTTGTGGTGACTATCTTGAGTGATCTGTAGGCGTTTGTCGGGTCTCTCTCGGGGAATCCAGATATCAGAGTCATAAATAAAATGCACCATATCATTGTGGTTTAGTAGTCTAATCTAGAGTTTTGTTCATTTTATTTGATACCCATTAATTATAGTTAGCCATACTATTTACTGAGTATATAATCATGCATAAAGATAATCAACTATGTTCCAATGAATTGTTCTTCTAGTTTGGTAAGCATCTCGCTAGGGTCATGCCAGAAAGACGCACATAAAGCATGTGCTTCGGAGCATACAAGATATATATATATTTAAGAGATTAATTCATTTTCCATATTCTCTTCTTGCAAGAGTTCTGCGAGGCAGGTACTATCGACAAAGCTCGCCACTACGGGTGGTAGAGGCCTCTTATCCATCCTATGTGGACAAGTTTGATGGCTGCCAAACCTCTCTTATTGTTGGAAATCAATCAGAAAGTTCATTCAGGATATCAAATACATGTTTGGAGATCCATGAATACCATCATCTCTAGCTAGACCGACTCGTGCAATTAATCCAATGGTAAATCCGCGAATGATAGTCAGTGATCTGATACATGGTTCCCCGAAGGTATGGAATGTGCAGATGGTGGAGAATCTTATTGTTCAGGAAGACATTCCACTCATCTGGAGTTTGGCCATAAGCCAATCCCATAGAGAAGATAAGAACATATGGAGTTATACTCAACATGGGATGTATACGATGAAATCAGGCTATTGGGTCACGAGAAACATTCTGAACCACGAGATTGAAGAAAAGGTGTTGGGACCAAGTGTAACCAGCTTGTAGGCTTTTGTTTGGAAAATTCAGGCTCCACAGAAGATCCGCCATCTTATATGGCAGTTGGTGTATGGATATATAACGGTTACAGAAAACTTGACAAGACGTCATATGCGTTGCGACAATTATTTTCCAAGATGTGGTGAACCAGATAAATCTGCTAACCATGCTATTTTCAAATTTGCACCGGATTTGCAGACATGGACCCTTGCCTCGACATCCTCATGCCCAGGAACCTTTCCAACAACAAGCATATTCACAACATGAACTACCTGTTTTGGAGAAATAATGAGATTGAAGACCTTGATCTAAATAAGGACCCTTATCCATGGATTATTTGGTTCCTATTGAAAGCACAAAATGATAAAAAAATTTAGAGGCATCTCAGATCCGCTTGAATTGGTGAGACATGCAGAAAGTGAATGCAATGCTTGGTTTGAAGCAAATGCAAAAACCACAAAAATAGACCAGACAAAACACATGGGTATCCAAGCCCTAAGCTTGCAAGACATTTGTTTAGTGAATAGATCATGGACAACGGAAGCAGAACGTAGTGGATATGGATAGGTTTGGATGCACGGGTTAGGAAAGGACTAACTCTTAGGCCTAAGGAACAAAGAAAACTGTATGTCTTCTTTGCACACAGAATTGAAAGCACTGATGTAGGCGATGGAGAGTATGATTCAGAATAGTACATGTCAGCACTTTGGGACGGACTGCAAGAATGTTATGACAATGATTCAGAAACCGAAGGACTGGCCAAGTTACTCGACAGAACTAGGAAAGTTCGCCTTACATACTTCTAGACTTTAAAATCTCCTACATACCAAGAACGCAAAATCAGACAGCAGATGGTTTAGCTAGGGTTGCTCGTAACTTTTATCGTCAGTTGTATTTTGTTGGTTGTTTTATTCTGGTGTGGATTCTCAGACACCTCAAGTTTGAGTATATCGAATAGTCTTTTAATGTTAAAAAAAAAAAGAAATCTACATATCTCTACTGGTGAGGACCTTGGGATGTGTATTTGAGGTGATGGGTTTGACACACTAAATTGTAGTTTTACCCACTTTCTGATTTTCAAAGGTAAAAGATCAAATATTCTTTTTGCTTGTAGACCTAAATTTTCCAGACATCTGCGTCTCGCTCACATTATTGAATCTCACGTACCCATTTTTCTCTTTACTGAGTACATAATCATGCATAGAGATAATAAGCGATGTTTCAATGGGTTGATGTCTGGCATGATGAACGTCTCACTCGTGAGGGTAGCTTATCAACACTATATGTGTGGGAATTTTGAAAAAGTGCATAGTGGTATACGTTTCATGTTTACATCCAGCACGTAAATGCAATCAACGTCTTTTGGAGCCTAGTAGTACATGATTCAGACCCATCATTATGCTTAAGAGATAAAAAGTGGTGTGCACTCTTATTTATTCAACTTCTTCACCAATTATTATGGTCAAGAAGTTCTGCCGGATATTATTGTGTAATATGTCTATTTACTTAAGGAAACACATTATCTCAGCCATCATGAATTAATGCCCAACATGTATGGAAAAAGCAGAAGTTAACTTGCATGTTTTATCAAAACATATGTCATAGTAATTCATAACCACTCTTCTAAGCTTAAAAATAAAATCTACCACAATATATTTGTTCACTATTGTTTCATAAGCCTAAGATATCTCGGACAAGTGGATACCACTAAAAAGAATCTTTAATCTGTAGTGCTTTTTTTTTAACTATACATAGTTCATAAATCATCATCATTTTGGACATAGATCATCAATTTGGCCATGTTCTTTCATCTGAGATACATGTCAGCTAAGTTGCATATGATGCTTTTTATGTAAAGAACTTTGATTTTAGAATTTAACATTTTACCAAAAAAAAACTTTGATGTTGGAAATAATAATTGTTGACATTGCGAGTAAGATTATTTCATGGGTATAGTATAGTGGTCAACTGGGTCTTCAAAAAAAAAAAAAAAAAAGAGATTAGTGGTCAAAGTGCGATCAAGATTCTTGCTAGCTTGTTGAGTTATATGTACAAATACTCCTACATGAGGACAACCAAGATACAGTATGTGGTTTATCTTCGATAAGTGTCCTTTTGTCACACAATCTTAAATCATTTTGAAATCCAACTAGAGAAAGGCTAAATTATTAATTCTTAAGGATATATATCCCATTTGGAAACTCTTACCGATTATTTTAGTCAGAGTTCAAATTTGAAAACATATATAATATTTTCTAATTTTCTAACAAAAAAAGCTATAATCAGTGATCCTTCAAGCAAATTAAATGGGAAAATGCATCATAAAATAGCTTATACGTCCTTTTTCTTATTGTTGGCTTTGCGTATATATTTGTCAAGAAGCCCTATTCTTTCTCAGATTCTCTCTCTAAAAGTCGCAGTAGTCCACGATGATCCGTTGTGAGGTTCTCTACTCTCCTCTCTCTCAGCCATCGTCGATTTCATCTTCTTATGTATTATCTCGTTAGACTTTTCTGTCTTATCTCTAACGTTTTAGTTATGTGCGCAGGATGTGGTTACAAACAGTGAGACACCAGAGCGCAAGGATTTGCTAACCAAAGACGAGAGTGTATTGTTCTCAACTCAAATCCAAGAACTCAGATCAGAACAAAACCAAACTCGTCTCACTAACTCATAGAACAGCCACGATAAGGACAGTCACTAAACCCATATTGCTCCAGCACAGTGACGTCCAATAAACAAGATCATATTACTCCAGGAAGAGTTCCAGGAAGATAAGGTTTCCATTTGCAGTGGAGCTAAGGAACAAGACATACTTCCCTAACATAATTGCCCCAGTCCTTGTGGTACAATAAACCCAAACCAAAAAAAAAAAAAAGATATTACAAGAGTATCTGGACCAACTTTAAATGGTAATCAAATAATTCAAATTCAACCTTAAACCAGCAAACTTCAAAACAGAACAAAGGAGTAAATGTAAGAAAAAAGTTGAAGTCAAAACGAAGTTTTCAGATTCCATCATTTTTATTCGATTGTCTGTAAGTAACTGCTATAGTATTATACAACGATCCTTTTAGCTACGAAAAAAAAACTGGACAAATCCTGTAGAAGCAAACTTACACCAAAGATGTTCAGACACATATATAAGTTAATCCTGCGCCCTACCGGTTCTGTTCTTGTTTCCATATATCAAACCAGTAACCTGCCAAAAAATAGCAATTTTTGAAACGAAAGAAAAAACGCAAATGATTGATTCAACTGACAGAAGTTTTGTAAAACTGACCTGAGGATCAGCGATTGGTTTCCTCTTCTCCACGTATTCATTCGCATCAGCCACCGCGAGAAGTGCCCTAGCCTTAATCAAACCATAACGTAACCGATATTAGAGACTCCGTTTCTTTAGAGATTCTGAGATTCGAAATAAGTACCTGTTGTTCCTTTTTGAGATCCTGAGCTGGTTTAACCCAAAGATAGTAAGCGATTGTTCCCGCGACGAGCCAAGAAGCGAGATTCTGACCTCCTCTAAGACCACCCATTGAGTTTCCGACAAATGACCTCACGTTCCCCATTGATCTTCTCCATTCACTAGCCATTGTTACGGCTCTTGATCTCTCTGACAATTCGCTTCACTTCGATGATTCGTTTTGAGGATTAGAAAAGTAAAGCTTTGATTTGGTTTGATTCTAATTTGCTTGGTGCCCACTGCGAATACTAAACCGGTCTCCGAGCCCGGTTTAGTGGTGGCGATTAATCAAATCTGTGTTTGTTTGTGATTTTGAACATCGTGCGTTGTTGCTCAAAAAAAAAAGAACATCGTGCGTCTATACTTCCTCCACGTAGCATTAGAAGTTCCGATCTGATATATGGGCTACAAAAACTTGTTAGGCCCATAGACTTTGAATAAGATACCTGTAAAACCCACCTTGATACCTAAAATTTTAGGAGAATTTGGACATTTGTCTGAGTATTAATTTTCATGGGAAAAATGACCAATTCCCTTATGAACTAACTAGTCGTTTCATTGATATTCATACACGAAATTTTTTGTCAAAACTAAACTACCACGAATTAATAATAAATCTGAATTTCACACACCAAATTTTAAAATATGGTCAATTACTACATAATCAAAATTGATTTCGATTTAATTAACTTTGGGTGATAATATGTAAGACACGTGACTAGGTTTGATTGGTTTATTGTTAAACCGAAATCAAATTTTAGTTAAAAATTACATCAAAACGATATCGTAATAATATTTAAAGATAATTAAAATTAGGTTTAATTATTATTTTCTTCGACATAAAACGCAGAAGCGAGGTAAAGTTGGGCGAGGCGAATTGAACATCAAAATGATGTTTACAGTTTAAGGAGATGTGAGGAGTTGTGATGTGGACAATTACAATTGATATCTTTATTGAACTTGAAACGGAGAGTGATGAGACTAATAGAGATGATAAGGAGCAAGATGAGACGAAGAGAGAGATGATATCAAAGAGATGAGACTAATAGAGAATGGAGAAATTCTTTTTTCTTAAGATGTTTAATACATCATACTCACGATTGTTGTCTTACAAACAGAACATCTTACAAGCAAACTACAAAACAAATTTGAAGAAAAGAACAATCACTACAACAACAAACAACCATGTTTTTCAAGCCTTTAGGTTGCATCTTGCAGTCTCCAATGTCTTTTCAAATCCTATTAGTTCCTTCATAAAACCATTGATCACAGCTTCACAAGTCCGAGTTTTCATAGACAGAGTTTCCATCTCTGATTCACAAACTTGTAAACTCTTTTCTATTGTGAACGAAACTTTCTCAAGTTCATCAACTTTTGTCTCATATCTTCAATATCTTCAACCACCGATTCATCTGTCCATTTGAACAAGTGATAACAATTTTTCTACAACAAACAAAACAATATTAAATCAACATTATTGGATTCAAAGACATTCAAGCACGTTCCTGATTTCTACACTCCAATTTCAGTCCCAAGCCTCTACTTTGCATCTATAATCATCCATTCACCAAGCCTCATATAATAATTCATGTAATGTTCCACCACGAAAGTGATATTCTGAGTTAATCCTTGCATCTAACTTACCTCGTTCTTGTGTCGAAAAAGAAGATCATAAACCTAATTTTAATTATTCCAAATCTTTAACAATGTTAAGTGACGAAACGGCAATCGTTCTAATGTAATATTTGACTAAAAATTTGATTTTGGTTTAACAATAAACCAACCGAACCTATTAGCCACGTGTCTTCCACATCAGCACCTGAAGCTAATCAAACTGATATAATTTCTAGTTAAGTAGTAATTGACCACATTTAAAACTTGGTGTGTGAAATTCAAATTATTAGTTCAGAGTGGTTTAGGCTTGACGAATTAATTGTTTGTGTCTGAATCTCAAAGAGACAACTAGTTCATAGGGGGAGAAATGATTAATTACACTTATACAATAAACCGGACTTGGGTTAGAAGTAAACCCGGTTGTGTACCCCTTCGATGTTCTTGAAGGTGAATGGCTTAAATGGGTCGGAGATTTAGAAAAGCCCAAAATTTTAATGATGATAAATGCTGAATTGACTAATAAATTAATTGGATTTAAGTTAACTTAACATACCTAACAGATGAGTTATGCATTCTCTATTATTAGGTGTTAATGCAAATACAAAGTTTATTTGCCAAAATGCAAACACAAAGTTTATCATTTTCTATTATTAGGTATCTAACTAGGCATGAGTTTATCTTCACTGATTACTTGATGGATATTCATTTAAATCATTATCTCCTTCCTATCAAAACCCTTGATGAGCTATTGTGGTTGATCATTATTTTCACTCGTAAAATTTACTAAAAAACCATCATTGCATTTAGGGTTAGGCAAATAAACAGAATATAAACATTCAAATTGAACCAAATTTATTATATGTACATAAGTGACTTTTTCTACATTATTCTGAGTTTTACCTAAACTAGACCCAGACCCAAAGCATATAAAAAATCTTTAAAAAAAACATATCAAATTGAATTCAATCCTTAATAAATGACCAAAATACTCAATGTTTTCAACAAGTACCTAATAAATATAATCATTAAGGTATTTGGTATAATGCATTTGTTTATGTCTCAACGATTGCATTTGAAAATGATAAATAATATTGTTTCTACATTTAACAATGTTGCTTTACTTAGAAATTTAAATAGTATTTCATACTATTATATAATTGTTAATTATTAGTTCATATTTCTATCCTCACAACTCCACGTTTATATCATGTCACCAAACTTTTGTTAGTATAGATTATTTAAACTTGTCAAATTTGTAAACTAAATTATGAAATCTTAGTAACAAACCAGGATCTAACTAACTGTAATCTTAATTAGAACTAAACTCAAATTTAAGATGAGTTCAACCATATTTATAATGTTGTACTATATCTGAACAGAACCGGAGAAACCAAAACCAAATTAGAATCAATCTTTAAAAATATTAGAGTTGGCTAAATTTCATGTCCTTAAGAATTCAAATCTGAATAAACCTGAAATCGAACCCAACTGGACATGAATATGTACCTATAATGCTATGTTAACATCATTTATTCAATGTTTATCACATTACATATAACCGATTAACGACATACCTAACACACAAATTTGTAATTAGGATTTTCAGTTCTCTAACAAAACTTATCTTTTTAATATTTATTTTGATATTACATGAAATGCATACAAATATAATCAAATGTGGATTCAATTTTAGTTATGAGATTCATCTTCTTAATTGAAAGACATATCCAATCAAAGAAGAAGTTATATTCACTTATATACTTAAAGAGTTGTTCTTATGATGAAACACATTCAAATTTAACTCAACTTTGAACATGGATCTTACCACGTTGCTTTCAACCAAGATCAATTTGGTTCTTCCTAAAGAAATGTTGTCTTAATTCCTTATTTAAGGATAATATTTTTAATGAAACAAGAAAACTTCATATTAGCTCATTTAGTTCATCTAATTGATTCGATATGTTTGAAATTGGATTGAATGAACAATCGTTTCTCTATTCTGGTCACGTTTGTTTTCTAATCTTCTATTTTTGCTTTCTTAATTATTCATTTAATTGGTAATAAAAAATATTTTTAAAGTTTGAAAATAAATACTAAAGAGTTATGAAAAGAGAAAGAAGATAATGTGTTCATGACATAGATACAAATATGTGCTAACAATGCAAGTATTATTAAGGGTAATGTTGATTCATTGTAATTGTGTATAAATAATGTTAACTAATTACGGTCTAGACTGCAACTGTTATTCTAAAATATCAAAATTAAGAGTACCATATATTATTTTAATTTTATTAAATCTATTTTTTTAACAAAAATACATAAATATTTATAAAAAATATCAAAAGATTAATTATTTTAATTAGAAATAAATCATTAAAATTAAAATATACATATGTATATAGAATATTTTGTATTTATCTATACAAATCTTTAATCTACAGAATTGTATATATTTGTATATTAAATATATATATTTTTATATATACTAACATAATAATATTATATTTTAAAAAATATTAGGCTAAAAATTGTAAAGTTAAAAAAATAAAACAAGATATTTAGTCAACTTTTTATTTTATTTCCCCAAAAAGGTTTTCAAGAAAGGTTTAAAAAACAAGAAATAGAGGAAATAGTAAGATATTGTTGACAAAATAGTAGTCAAAGATACATAGATATCCAAAAATCCCTTTTTCATCGTTAAAGGGTATATATATATATATATTTTACTGGTCTAAACAAAATATAAAAACCTAATAATTGTAGGGAGCAGGCAGGAATCCTCTTTGCTTTATTCCCTGAATTTTCGCCAACTTATCGTAAGTTTTCTCTCTCTCTCTCTTTCTTTCAAATTTCTATTTTTTCTTCCAGTAATTGAAATTTTTAGATGAAAATAAATAATCTTCTGTTAATATTTTAAAAGTTTTATTGTCTTCTTAAAGTTGATTTTTATCTTATTACTCTCTAAATTCGGAAATTCTAAACCGCGATCCGTTTTTTTTTTTTTTTTAATTCTGAGAGATCTGGAAAAAATCGTTTCGAATTGTTAAAATCTTTGGAGTTTCATAGGATTTTTCTCTTCTGGGTTTGAAGTTTTACTTAGGGTTTAGGTGTTAAAGTTTCGAACTTTATCTTCTCGGAGATGTTACAGTCTCCACTTCAGAGCTTCTTCAATGGAAACTAAAGCTAGGGTTTTGTAGTAAATCTCCTGCTAACAAGAGTCTTATGTTCTGTTTTTTTTTTCTTGGGAAAGTGAGGAAAGATGTCAGGATCTGAGACGGGTTTAATGGCTGCGAGCAGAGACTCATCAATGCCATTCACAATGAGTCTCCACCACCAACAGCACAATCAACCTCCTTCTCCTCCACCGCAACAGTTGTCACCACCACCGCAGCAGTACCAGCACAACAACTCAGCTTTGAACATGAACATACCCGTAGATATGACAGGAAGTGAGCCTGTGAAGAAGAGGAGAGGGAGACCGAGGAAGTACGGACCGGAACTGGGTTTGGTTCCCAGAGATTCTTCTTTCACCGTCAGCCAGCCTAGTGGCGATGGTGGTTCCGGGGAAGGTGGGTCGTCTACGCAGAAGAAGATGAGAGGAAGACCTCGTGGTTCTGTCAATAGGAAAAAGCTTCAAGCTTTAGGTAAATTTATATACATATTTTTGTGTCTGTTGGAATCTTCTTCCTCACGTGATGGCTTGGATCTTCTCTGTCGGCTGTGATCTATATTAGAATATAGTAAAATTGTGAATATGCTAAACAATGTCCTCGAGGATTAGATTCCTTCAAATTACCAAAATGCCCCTCTTGACGTGTCTTGTTCAACCATCTTTACTCTTTTGTAGCAATCTTTGGCATTCTTTTTTGTGGCTTTAGCTCGTAGTGTTGAGTCTTTTAACTGTAATTTTAGCTCTGAGGGTTGTCTTTTTGTGTGTGCTTGTCGTTGCAGTATTGATATCTTTTGTGGCGTCTGGAGTTTCTTAGTTCTTTGAGTTTTATGAACTGAAACTTATATTTGTGTGTGTTGTATGCTTGTTATTGCAGGGTCGACAGGAGTCGGATTTACGCCTCATGTACTTACCGTGAATACTGGAGAGGTGTGTTATCATCTCTAGCTTGTTGAAATTACTTATTTTACTGCATACATGTCTTGTCTTTACCCTCATCCTTCCAGTAAACGGTCTCTAAGATCTGCATATCATGTATATGTCGAGAGTGCAGAGTTGTTGGGTTAAGGTTTTGAACTTGACCAGGGTTTCTGTTACCTGAAAAATATTATATGTCGTGTGTGCCTGTGTGGCTGTTTGTACTGCTGGCATTTTAGGTCTACTTGATTTCCTTAGGCTTAAGAGCTGACATTTTTTTTGTTGTTAATTGGGACAGGATGTATCATCAAAGATAATGGGGTTTTCTCAGAACGGACCACGCACTGTGTGTGTCTTGTCCGCAAATGGATCTATCTCCAATGTGACTCTTCGCCAGTTCGCCACATCCGGTGGAACCGTTACATATGAGGTCTCAAGATTTTGCATATTTCTTCAGTTTCTTTGTCTCTTATCTTTTTGCTGCTTAGCCCTTACTGAGTTTACGTTGAAAATCAGGGGAGATTTGAGATTCTGTCTTTGTCGGGCTCGTTACTTCTGGTAGAAAACAATGGCCACAGAAGCAGGACAGGAGGTCTAAGTGTGTCCTTATCAGCTCCTGATGGTAGTGTCTTAGGTGGTTCTGTAGCTGGTCTTCTAATAGCAGCATCGCCTGTTCAGGTACTTTCTGTCTTTTTTTCCATGCTCATAAGAACAATGTAATGACACATTTTTGGTACTCACAAATCACAGATTGTTATTGGGAGTTTCATACCAGAGGGGCAAAAAGAACAGAGACAGATGGATCTATCCTCACCGATATTACAGCATGTCTCCCCAAGTCAAGTACTGATGAATCCGAGTAGCCCGCATTCTCGTGGCACGATGAGTGAGTCATCTATTGGAGGACATGGAAGCCCTCTTCACCAGAGCTCAGGAGGGCCTTACAACCACACCAACCTTTCCATGCCCTGGAAGTAGCCAAGTGATGATAACTCCAACTGCCTTCTGTTATTAGAATGATGATGATGATGTGGTGATTCTTATCTTTAGTTTAGGCTTATTATCTTAGTTGTCTGTTCAGACAAAAGGAGTTTAAATAACTTAACCTGGTTTGTGTTTGGTGGTGCTTTCAGAACCTTGATTTGTTCAGAAATTGGAATATCCTGATTAATGTAGATCCTTTTTTTTTAATAAAGTTTCTCTCAATCTTGAGAACATTACTTGATTACAACAACAAAACAATAGTGGTTTTAGTTTAAGCCTGGTGGTGGTCTTTGGCTCTCTTCAACAAAAACCGCATTGAGAAAAACCCAAGAGCTGTAGTTTGCCAGAACCACCCCATTGCATTGTCAGGATCAACTCGTTTAGCCAGAGACCAAGCATAGATTCCTTCTCCAACATGTAGTAACACCGCTACGATAAACACAGCTCTTACCATTGTCATTGTCCTGAAGAAGAAGAGGTGTAAGGCTCTTAAGAAAGGCACTGGTCCTACTTCTGGTAGCCATCCCGCAGCAAAGAGAGCCGACATTCCTAGTATAACAGCTAACCAAGTGAATATAGTTGGACCGTCTAGTGATCTCTGTTTCTTCTCCTGCCAATATGAGATTGTTGCAGCCATGCCTTCCTTAGAGCTCTTGAATGGAACATATCCAAGCTCTTCCTTAGCCTTGAGATATGAGAAATAATGGGTAACACCGACCTAAACAAGATCAACAGATTCATCATACAGGTTAGATTGTGATCTCAGCTGGAATACTAAGTTAAGTTTTGAGAAACTGTTACCTTGTAGACTTCAGCAGGAAGAATAAGAGGCTGCGGTAACCAGCTCTTAGATAGCCATGGATACAGAACAGTGTAGACACCTTGGAAGATCTTACCCAAGGTCACCGCAACAGGTACAGAGAGAGTATATTTGGGGATGTCGTAGTCTAAACTTCGTAGGAAAGGACGTAGAAACTCAAATGTATTCACAGGGGAACCTATCCGAAAAATAATAACTCAGTTTTGACTTAGCAAGAGCAAGTTTAAAGGCTAAAATGATTTACCATCAGAGACAAAATAAGGTTGACCAGCAGCAACAGGCACTCCTTCTCTACCAGGAATGTCATCCAAGAGTCCCATACTAGCCAATATGATAGCTAGGACAAGGTTCTCAACATAAATCCAATCTGTCTTAACACTCGCTTCACCGGTCTTGAACAGCAGCAAACCCATCTTCGCTAGATTAACTATCCTAGGAAGATGTCTGTCTTCACCAGGTCCATAAATAGCTGCTGGACGAACCGCACATGTATACAACTTCTTACCCCCATTTCTACATAAACCACACAAGCAGTGAGTAGATTATTACTTTGTGCTTCCAACAGAGTCAAAAGAACCTGACTTACTTAAATGGTCGGCCGTTACTCTTGAGTACAAGCTGTTCCGCAATGGATTTACTCCGACCATAGGCGTCGACATGATCATCAAGCGGGTAATAAGGCAAACTTTCATTACCGTTCCTAATCTCCTTACCACCAAACACAACGTTGTAAGTGCTGACGTACACAAGTCTTGTGATCTCGTGTTTGAACACAGCCTCCAAGACGTTACATGTCCCGTTTATGTTAACCTCGTCGCAACGACCGAACTGTAGCATCTCTTTACCAGACATACCATAGGAAGCAAGATGCAGAACACAGTCTGCTCCATCTAGTGCCTTGTCCACATCTTGTTTCCGAGTTACATCACCTGTCAAGATTCCAAGATCACTCTAATTGTTCAAATTTGAATCTGACAATTATAGTGTGATCTAACACTAACTGTGATCTAAAACAACTAGTTTTTTACGGATATCCGGATTTTAATATAATTAAAAGATCGAATAGAATAATTAGCGAATATTTAAACTAACTATTTGACTGTTACGGAGCTGATCATCACACAGAGAATCAGTAATTACAGATCAAACTGAAAAGCAAGGATATGAGAAAAGTCTAGTGAACCTTGGATGCAACGAACGCCACTGTTTATGAGCTCATCGGACCAAGGAGATGAATCACGTAGATCAAAAGAGCGGACCTGGCGAGCACCGCGACGAACTAGCTCTAAGCAGAGAGCGGCGCCGACGAAGCCGAGGCCTCCGGTAACGACGAAGGTGTTGCCTTCGACACCTTCGTTCTCACTCAAATGCATTTTTTTTTTTTTATTTCTCGACACGACTTTGAACTGGCAATGAGAAACTGGAGATTTGATCGTCCGACAACTCACGGTCTTGACTTTTCACGTGATGGAGGTCCTCGGTACTCGCTTAACTCACTGTCGCCTTTTTAACACAAAAACGTTGTACTTTTATCGGGATTTAATTGGGTATATGCCCCTGTATTCTTTAAAATGTATTATATCTCTACCCCAACTTTTTTTCTTTAAAAGTATTGTATTAATGCTCTCAGTAATCGTTTGATTTTTTTTATAACACTGGTGCAATGGTACTAAGAAAGTTCCAAAATAGTATAAAAGAGAAAAACATGGAAGATAGGAGATATCATTAGACATCAACAGATAACGAAAAAGCAGAGTCGGTCCTGAAGAATTGGGGGCCCCAATCTATTTTTTTATTACAAAATATTAATATTTGTCCAAAAAAATGTTTACAAAGAATTTTTTTAGTTATAGTGATGATTTAGTTAAAAATAATAATTTACAAAGAAAATTATGTTAATAAATAGAAGAAACCTAAGGAACAAGTCTTAGTTAAAAACAAATATTCATGGAACTGAAATTAAAAAAAAAATTATTTATATAATTTAGTCATTTCCTTATGTTATAGGGTAATTTAATTTACAAAAAGTAATTAAATATTAGTTTAAAAAAAACTGAATAACATAAATATTTTTTTTTTAAATGGGGGCTTCTTAAAGATAGGGGCCCCATTCAAATATTTCACGTTCCTCCCCACAGGCCCGGTCCTGCGAAAAAGACACCTCACCCAAAACCTTATAGCTGAGCCTCCAAAGCAAGTAGGTGATGAAGCCACACGGATTCATTACGGGCGATGTAAGACTGGTGACGGTTATCGCGAGTGACACTTATAACAATAGTGTCTGCTGCTTCATTGCAGTCTGGAACTGCGTGGTCTAAACTCCATGAATCTATCCTGGCGAGGAGGAAAGAAATATTGTGACGAATATGGCTGAAAATGAGGTGGTCATTTGGATGTGTAAGTGCGTCATGGAGGGTCTCAGAGGAAGTCTCGAAAATGATATTTAAGAAATGCAGATTGTGGATACATTCCACTGCCCAAAAAAGAGAACACAAATCAGCCTCAGTCTTTGTGCGCATATAAGAAAAGGACCGACGGCTATGCATAACTGTACACCCATTTTCATCTCGTAAGATCCATGAAGCACCACTATGACGGTTAGAGCTTAACCAAGAGGAACCAACATTACATTTGAGGAAATCTCTGGGTGGTTTTTGCCATCGAATCATTACAGAAAGAGCCTCCAAAACATTATCCTTTGCTCCTGAAAATGTATCGAACCATGTTAATTCCTCTTCATAGGCTTTCGTAGCAATAAAAGAAGCCTCAATATCTTTGGTTTCAAATACAAAGGCATTTCTAGCTTTCCAAATTTCCCATAACAACCAAGGGAAAACATTCCTTGAATGAATATCCGTTGTTGATTTTTTGACAATCATGATAAGATGCACAAAATTTAAAAATGTTGAATTCCGAGAAAAACCACCTAAAGGTATGGGGAAATTAGCTTGTTCCCAAGTAGCACGTGCTTTCGAACATGTAAAAAGAACGTGACATATACTTTCTGCCGTATTACCGCATACTGAACATGTTGGGTCTAGCGGAATCCCCCGAGTATTCAAACGTTGTTTTACCGCTAAAGCACCAGATAGAGCGCGCCACATAAAATGTTTTATTTTTGGTGGGGCTTTAACCTTCCACAGTTCTTTCCATAATTGTTTTTCAAGAGGAGTGAGAGAGTGCTCTGGAGGATGATCAAAGTCGACCAAAGCCTCTAACAATTTATACCCACTTCGAGTCGAATATGAGCCACTTGTTGTGAAACCCCATCTAATTGTACCTTCAAGTAACAGTGATGGTTTTAGAAGTAAGATCCTCTGAACATCCTGTGCCGTAAAAGTTTGATTTTATAAATTAATATCCCACTGGTTCGATCCCTGCACAAATAAGTCTGAAACTTTTAGCGCTAGATTTATGGAACTATTCTCCCGGTACATTGGTGGCCGAGGAATAGTATCAATAATCCAACTTTCAGCCCAAACATTGGTATTACCCCCATTGCCAATATGTCGGTATAAACCCTGTTTTAATAATTCTCTACTGTGCATGATACTCCGCCATGTATATCATGGACGTGTCCCCATACCACACTCCAGAAAATTTCCATTTTTAAAGTATTTGCCTTTCAAAATGCGAGAGACCAAAGAATCATGATTATTCCAAATTCGCCAAGCTTGTTTACCAAGCAAAGCCTGATTGAAACGACCAATGTCATGAAACCCAAGACCTCCATGTTCTTTGGGTTTACACAATTTTTCCCAGGAAACCCAGGGGATCTTCCTTTTTTTGTCTCCACTACTCCACCAAAACTCAATAATCGCACTCGTGATTCGTTCACAGAGGCCTTTTGGTAACCGAAAGACTGACATTGCATATATTGGGAGGGATAAAGCTACCGATTTTATTAAAACTTCCTTGGCCCCCATTGATAAAGTTTTGGAGTACCAACCTTGTAGTCGGCCTTCTAATTTCTCTTTGATAAAATTTAAAAGATCTTTTTTTGATCTCTGAAAACATTCAGTGAGACCGAGGTATGAACCTTCACCCCCTTCCTTGTCAATACCCAAGAAATTCTTTATATTTTCTTTTGTATCTTCGGCTACGTTTTTCCCAAAAATGATAGAAGACTTCAAAGGATTAATCATTTGCCCAGAAGCCTCCCAATAGATTTTCAAACAATCCAAGATTTCTACACTATCCTTGATAGAGGCTTCACATAAGAGCAATCTATCATCCGCAAAAAGCAAATGATGGACAGAAGAACTATCTTTAGCTAACTTTATACCATGTAACTTCCCCTGTGCTTCAGCTCTGTTTAAAACATGTACTAAAGCTTCAGCACATAAGATGAATAATAAAGGAGACAAGGGATCACCCTCGCGTATTCCTCTTTCAGGTTTAATAAAACCATGAGATCTTCCATTTACTAACACTGAAAAAGTGACAGTGGTAATACATGACATAATTCAAACTACCCGTTTCCGATCAAAACCCATTTTTTCAAGTAGAACTTCAAGAAAATTCCATTTAACCCGATCATAGGCTTTTGACATATCTGTCTTAATAGCCATACTTTCTCTACCAATTTTATCATTAGTGCGCAGACCATGTACAAATTCATGTGCTATAATGACATTGTCTGTAATAAGCCCGCCTCCAACAAAAGCCCCTTAAGTTTCCGAAATTATGGTAGGCAAAATTGTTTTCATTCGATCGCAAAGAATACGAGAAATAATTTTGTATTGTACTGTGCAAAGACTAATGGGACGCATATCCTTCATTTCCGTAGGTTGTAAAATTTTTGGTGACAAAAATAATTGTGTATGATTCCATCCAGCGGGGAGGATGGCTGTTTTAAAAAAAAACCTTGAACGTCACCAATAATTTTTTGTCCCACAATGTGCCAATATTTTTGGTAAAAATAACCAGTGAGTCCGTCTTCGCCAGTGGCACTACTACTTTTAATACCAAAAGCTGCTTTTTTATTTCATCAGGTGATACCTCTCTGATTAACATTGTGTTCATCTCGGAGGTGACCCTAGTATCGAAACCTTCAAACAGAGTTTCCAAATCTCTAGGGTTGGAACTTGTAAACAGATCTGTGAAATATTCAGTAGCAATATGCCTTTTAGACCCTTCAGAATAATGCTCATTTCCAAAAATATCTTTAAGCATTAAGATTTTATTTCTCATTTTTTTCCCTTTAACCACATTATGAAAGTAATTGGTATTTCTATCCCCTTCTCGTAACCATTCCTCTCTACTTTTTTGTCTCCAGAAAATTTCTTCTTCCATATAGGCCATAGCCAATTCCTGTCGTAGCCTCCTTAGCAGACTATAAATGGGGAACTGCTTTAAGCTTTCCTTGTCCAAATCAGTCTGTAGCCGTTCTATTCTTGTTTTTGAATTCCAATCATTGGTCTTTTTAAGCTTGGATAATTCCGAACGACAACGAGCAATACGATCAAGGACACTGAGATTTGAGTTAATATTCTCGACATCCCATCCCCGAATAATGGCCTTCTCCACCCCTCTCTTTCCATACATACGTTTATCAAAATAAAACCGTCCTCTTTGCAAATTTTCAGACTCTAGGGCAAACTCTATGTGTATTGGTCGATGATCTGAAGGCCACATACTCATATAGTCCGTAGACGATTGTGGAAAGAGTCTAAACCATTCATCATTACCAAAACTCCTATCAAGTCGACATTGTACCCAATTATGATCCCTCATACCTGCCCATGAGAGAGTATTTCCCGTGGTCCTCATTTCCCTGATTTTGCATGCTTCAGCCATGTTCCGAAAACCAAAGAAAGTGTATTCGTCCCTAGTAACTCCTCCCAATTTTTCACCATTATGCATTAGTTCATTAAAGTCACCAACCAACAACCATGCCTCATCTCTAGAAACACCAATATCCGTTAACTTATCCCAAACAGATCTTCTTCTTGCTCTTACTGGGTCTCCATATACACATGAAAGGAAGAAAATTAGGGATCCCATTGTGATTTTAAGGTTAATGATTTTGTTATCACTATTCAAAATTTCGACTGCGTAACACCCTTTCCACATTATAGCTAAACCTCCACTACGTCCAATGGGTTCCACCGTGTGTAAATAATCATATCCTAAGCTTGATTTTAATATATCCATGTAAGCAAATTTTTTCTTAGTTTCCATAAGAAACAGAAAATCCGGAAAATATTGACGACGTAAATCCCGAACACGTTGAACTGTATCCGAACCACCAGCACCCCTACAATTCCAACTCAAGATACTCATAAAAATTTATACTGATCTAAGGATTCGTAATAAAATCCCGAAAAATATGGTGTAATGAGACCCAATTTTTTTCCACCATAAAACCACC